AAACGATGATTGATAAACTGAGAATTTACCCAACTCCAAAGAAGACTGGGGTCCTTTGCTTGGAGATAACTGAGTTTTAGAAATAATTTTTATTTTTATGTGTTTGTGTTGGTTCGTGTTTATTTATTTAATAAAATTTTTGTGGTATATATTTATGCCATTTGAGTTTTATTCATCGACTTTTCGAGCCTGTGAATGTACACATTTAAAAAGTTTTCAAACAAGTTATAACTTATAGCTATAGCTTAAAATGTTTTGTAAATATTTTTAGAAAAACGTTATAGAATCATGAAAGTACATAGTGATTCTTTGATGAGTACAAATATTTGAACTGGTGGCATACTTTTGTCCTCGAAGCACGGCAATCCTATAGTTCTGCTTCTCGGGCCATTATGTACCACCAATTAAAATATTTGCACTCTTCAAAGATACACCATGTATAATGTTACAAAATATTTATTTGCAACGTTTAAATAACGTCTAGCGCAACGCTAAAGTAACATTTCAACGAAACGTTTCTGCAGTGTTGCAGCGAAACGTTTCTGAGGGCGGACATTTGCAGTTACATAAACATTTCATATAGTGCAGGTAACTGAAACGTTTCGGGATTTTAATGTACGTTTCTGAAACGAAAAATTGTTTAGCCGGATTACTTTCAAAGTTTATCAAATCGATCAGCGCTTCAATCCACACAAGTGATGAAAACCTATTTTAAACCTCAATTTAATCAACAATTCCGAATGCCATTTGTTGCACCACCGCCACGGCTATAAAATTTTACATCTTTCAATGCACACACACCGCATAATTTATTTATGTCAGGGAATAATTTCAATCAATTTCCATCACAACCAATAAAACCAAAAGACCAAATTTCAATAGAATGTTTTATTTTGAATAATAAAGTAACGTACTTGTTGCATGTTTCTGTAACGTTAAAAGAAAAGTATGATTTTTTTCATCTATATTCAGCACCAATTTTCAAAGAGAGTCAGTTCAAGGCAATGATTCCGCGAAATAATTTTTTTATTAAATCGAAATTGCACTATACATATCAAAATGAAGCCTGCCAAGAGATCACAACACAGCTTCATTTGTGTATGCCAACAAAGAATTAAAGGAAATCCATGAAGAAAGTGCTTGTGCTGTGGGACTGCTATCGCAGCTTAAGGAAACTACTGTCAGCCAATTGATGTCCAAATCAATGACCTTATTGTCAATCAACTTTCCAATTCGGACAAGTGGTTAATTGTAACTGTCGAAACTACAATGCTCAACACAGATGGAAACATTGAATTTGATTGGTACCTACATCGCTGAAATTCCTAAGGGTTGCGAAGTCACGGTAAATGACAAAACTATCATCAACGACCAGAAAAGCAGTCAACTCGAGCACGCAGCCCATGTTTTTCCCAGACAACAACGAGCTGCCCAGTTTGATTCCCTCCATGGAACTCGACTTCAAGTTAGGCGATATCAAGCTAGACGGAATTCAAGATCTTCAAAACCTACCAATATGGTTCCAATCGATATTTCAAAAACCCCTTCAATCTGGACTGTTCTAATGTATGTTTTTGCAGCAGCAGCCATTCTGTGTTACAGCTACAAGAAATTTGACCAAAATATCTGCAAGAAAAAGATTACACCCTCGAGCTACAACCAATCCAACTCCCTTCAACGGTACAGTTGAACTTAATGGCCGTATTTATAGTCCAAGTGCCAAAAGTGCCAAGTGGCACTTGAGAGAGACTTATCGAAGAACGACTTGAGTGAATTTTGACACTTGAGATAGAAGCCATTTTATAGTTCCACCTCGAGAGTGACTTGGAAAAGTGGCTGTTAAGTGACGGTCCGGATGGTACCATTGGCATTTATCATAGATAAAGACAAGTTTGACGGATAAAGCGAATTTTGAAGTTATTTTGAACAGGAGTAAACAAATGGAGCGCCAGAGGAAAACCGTATATTCAGCTAGACAGAAGACGCATAGTTCTGTAATCATTCATCACAATATAATAGTATATTATATAATGAGAGTTGTTTTCGTGTAAGCGTAATTGTATTACGCACTTATCACTTGACCTACCTGGAAACTGCCAGTAGCATATTATAGAACCTTAATGCTAGCTGAAGTTGCAAATGAGCAGGAATAGGTAAACCACATGCACTTCCAATTCTACTTAAAGCTAAAAGTACAGCTAAATACATCGATAACGGTTTTTTTTCCCGAAACCGATATCTGAGCAAATTCCTGCTCTCCGTAGAACTGGAAACGATCTTGCATATCTCGTATGTATCTCTTTCGAACCCACTCGGGCATTTCTTAATCAACATATTGCATAAATTCTTTCGAATCGTTCATATTAATAATATATTTAACAAAACGTGTGAATAACAAATAGTAATTCTCAGCTCAACTATGACAGAAGGTGTGGTACCAGAATGGTTAGGTTAGAAAAACACACTCAAGGGTCCTATACTCCACACTCAAGTCCAAGTCGCCCTTACACGTCAGCTGATCTCGAAGTGACGACTATAAAACGCATTTTTCATTATGACAGTCACTTGAGTGTCACTTGAGAGGCGTCTATAAATACGGCCATAAGTGATGGAGGAGTTAACAGACGGTCTTGCACCGCTGCTGGCCAGGACAGATGCTGAGTCCGCAGTTTCTTCAGACAAAACCATTCGCGGGAACATTGCACGATTATTATTATTAATGCATTCTTATTATGTACTTGTAACGCATATACCTCTGTTCTAATTTTACCATATTCGAAGGTTAACTCGCGTCAAACTGAGTTTCAGACGTTAAACTGGTTTAAGATCGCTTGGCCTAAAGTCTGTCGGTGCATGCATATGTGACGTAAATATACCTACCTATCTATTACGGGAATCATAAATTCAAGGGTTAGATATGGTTTGTGTCAAGGACAAGGGCCGAAACGAAATAACTGTTCCGTTCCAGTTTTGGTCCAAGGCAAAATTTAAAATTTCGGTTCCGGTTTAGAAAATAATTTGCAATTCGGTTCCGGTTTTTTTTTTGGTTCCAAAATAATATATAACAACGAACAATTACGTACCCTCTCCAAAAAATATCTTATGTCAAGAAACATTACATAACTTAATTACCTACCTTTATTGACATCTTACACAATTTTCAAACAGAAATATCTTCTATTTTAATGAAGTCAAACTGCCCGTGGGCAACATTTGTTATTTTTCGACCCATAATTGTAGGCATCAGTAAGCGCATAGATTGTAACCCTGTAGAGTTTTTTTTGTTTTGTAAATGTTGAGGATGCCAACTTTTTCATTTCCAAATTGCGTAGGCGCACTGTGCTGTGAAGAGGCAATTAATCGGTAGGATATTAGGTACTCAAGTTATTTATTCAAATACTATAACGACCACAGGCAAAATAGGTGCTTTGCTTTTTCATATCATTGAGATCAACGGTTAATAACGGCTTCCACGCTTAATATGTCTTCCTATAAAAAAATTGTTATTTTGTGATTTATACAAGATCTTGTCGTTTAGGACCAGCCGTAAAGAATAGCGTTTATATTTTCTCCCTTTGACGGCGTCGCGGCGCCGACTATTAAAACGATTCCAGGAACTAACTAAAAGAAGTGCCGACTCTTTGTCGGCACATAGTACACCACCGCTCACCAGAACACATAAACGTAATTTTATATTAATTTGGAGGAGAATAAATGATTATTTTCATTTGCTTCTAAAATGTATAGTAATTTCTTTCAAACGTTACAAGCAGAACCGAAAAAACCGAAATAAAATATTTCGGTGGGTTCCGGTCCGGGTCCCTGGTTTGTATGACTAAAGTGTCCGTGTAACAAATCTGAAGGGCACTGATAAAATACCAATATCGGTCTTCGACTTCCGTAAGACTTACGACTAGAATGAGTACTCGAATAACGAATAACTGATCCGAAGTGACGAGTATTGAATCCAAAAGTAACTAGTCGGTACGAGTATTCAAAAGTAATCAAATTTCACACCACCAGTCTGTATGCAGCTGGGTTTCCAAATCGGGGTCGAATACCGACATTAGGGGCTTTTCAGTTAAAACACCCATAACGTTCTGCCTAGTTTTTTCACATTCATTTGTCCAATCAAAAGGAACGTTAAGTTGGTTATACATGAAACCTTAGATCAAGTCAGGAATTTGCGAAAATAACTTGCCTGTTAGATCCATAAAGATCCACTATTGTCAAAAATCAGCCCTCCACCTATGTCGAGGCAAATATTTTTTAAAGGTCCCGTAAAGTGGGTCAGTAAACCGAGAAAACGACTGGTAAAAAAAGAATAAGAAACAGATGCGCACAGGGTGGCACATTGTTCAGGTCTTTTTGTTTAGAGTGTGAACACCCTTGCTTGGAGTGTCTTTGTCTACCTATTAAAGTAGTTAGCTAGTTTTCGGCTTTTATTTCGAACCGGGTTGTGAAGTTAATACGGGTAGTTTTTTCGGACACAACATTGCCAGTCTTGTTAATTGTCGAACTTGTTTGTTACTCTCAGAAGTTCTGTCGGCAGAGAGCACTGGTACAATTTGTTGTTCGTTTGTACCTTTAAATAAAACTCCATAATTTTCATACATATTTTGACCATAAAAAACATCTTCATCCTTCCCACTTCTGATATTAGAAAAAGGTGTTTTTCGGTCTTGTCAGGCAGACCCACCGCGCACGAATCCGACGCTATTTCCGCGTGTTTCGTGACCTTGTTGGGCGGCTGCTTGAGCGACTGGCGCTAAACGTAAACGGCCTTACGTACATTTGGAAACCGTTCCTCTATCAAAAAGGTGCCAAATTTGAATATTTTAAAACTGAATCTAACAATATCGAATATGCAAACGCAAATACTTCTTCGTGTACTCCTCACAGCGCTCCATTTCATTCAGCAATGCCTCCTCTGAGACATCCTCTTTTATCATGATGTCATACAACATCATATGTAAAAGATTCGGAGGGCCTCAAATGACGCGTTCATCTACTCTTTTATAACTGTGAACAAAAAACGGCAGAAAACCCATGATCTTATCAATAACCCAAACAGATACCAGCAGAGATAAAAATTTAACTTTGTTCGTTTGGAATATATAGTTAATTTCGGTTTTGAAATTTGCTTCAAAATAAATTGCCCTGAAAATATTTCTGAAAGTTTTCTAGTGTACGTTCGCCTTTAATTTGCCCTGTTGCCGCTGCATAACTTCCCCTTTTGGCGTCTTCAAACTTCCAAGTCCTTGCGTGACAGGAAATTTTGCTTGTGGAAAGTATGCGTGATTTATCAGCTTTGCTTATATCATATTAGGTAGACTTTTCTAGGTATCGAATCTTTCGAGCGGGATTGTTTGGGTGACCAGCAAATTTCTCTTAGCGATAATCAGTGGAGTGCGATTCGTTTAGTCAATTAATGCTAATGAGCAGGTATAGACTGGTCACGGTACAAGTGGAAAATCAGAAGCATATTTGTTCCTCAAAAAAAACTGCAACTATCCAGATTGTCCAGAACGGCAGATTTCCATTGAAATTTAAAAACGGGATCGTTCAAAACAAGCGTCACCCCACTGCGTGCGCAGCTGATTGATTCGGCAAAATCCCTTAAAAACGAACGATAATTTACGGTCGTCGTTCGAAACTACTCGGCAAAGTCCACGAAATCCATCGAAGCAAATATACGATTGTCACACTTTCCATTTTTAACCTCTCTGTCGTATTGAACCCTCTGGACCCGTATTTATATTATACAGGGTGATTCAAAATTGGCGTCATTCCTCTGGAGGTGTTGTCTGGCGCTGTTATAGGAGTACAGAAAAAATAGTAAAATAAATTAATTGTTCTTGAAAACTGAGAAATTTGCAAAAAATTATATCAGAAATACGGCAGCAATGTTTTTCAAGGTTATCTGCCTAATAAACATTGCGCAAATACGTTGCTTCGTAATTATTTAAAACTCCGGTAACCATGGAATTATACAGAGTGACAATAAGATAAACAAGGATATACGGTAAATTCAACAAGATTTGTTGACTGCGGAACGTACTTTCGAAATGTCAACTGTTCTCATAACCTCAAATATTGGTGTTAAAAAATAAACCATACAACACCAAACATTTTAATGGTTAACTCCAAACAAACTAGTGCCTGTGTAATCTCCTTACTATCCACTCTTATCAAGCAGCTTCTCGTATTCAGTTAATTAACTCCTGCTCCATTTGTATCTCGTTGTGCTGTGTGTATCGTACAAAAGTGGTAGGAATGCAGCCCTTCTTCGGTATTTGTTTGGTGCTTGGGAAAGTGTATTGTGCTCTGAGTGCCCCTGGAAGGCCCTGATTCGATTATGTCCAATACTTGTTCCTCTGTGCCTGGTGCCCATCGATTGTCGGCCACTATCTTCCTGGAACCACTCTCCTCGCCCTTTGTTGGCGTGAGTTCTTCCAGCTTCTGCTATGTTACTGTAGCTCTTCTCCTGAACTAATCGCATATCAGCAAATTCGTGAAAGGAAATTCAAAGTAAGTCACAGTTTGACAAATTATTGACAAGGACTCTCCAGCTGTAACTATCGGTTAATGACAAAAAACATCATTGCCGCTGTGCCTTTTCATCAAAAAATTGTAGAAGAGAACTTTTTTGATATCAAAAATTTTCGTAATTTGAAGCGAAGATCGTAATGTTTCTTTTTGAATGCTTAAGTATTCCAACATGCTACTAATTAAACATGGAACAATTTCAAAATAATGCTTAATAGCAAAGTTGAAATTCTATCTTCAACTGTTAATATCTTCTAGAAATTTTGGAAAAAAAAAATTTCTATATTTTTCTGGTACTCCCCAAGGGAGCCTCTATCACCTCTTAAAAGGAATGACGCCAATTTTGAATCACCCTGTATACAAGCTGAAGTGGCCGTCGATTTGAATTTCTAATTGAGGAAAAAAGTTTAAAAAAAGTTTGAGCATCATTGCGCTGACCAGAAGGCGCTGAAGACCATCAATACAGGTGGACTGAATAATCAAACACCAAAAGCTTCCATTCAAAAATAATAATATTACAATTATGCATTATTTAAACATAGAAATCAGATAAATTACAGCCCGTCTGAGGGCTCAGAAGAGATCGCCTCGCGATGCTCATAGGCCCAGAATCCACGGAACTCAATCAGAATGCTGACAAAAGTTTCTCCTTGTCCGCACGCAACCAGATCGTTCAAAGTGACGCGTTCCGGATCTTTGGGGCGCACCATATCGAACAGCTCATCCTTTACATCGCTGAACGACACTGGCTGCTCAGTGCCGTGCGCCGTCATCTGATCCTGAATGTCTCTGCAAACAATTCCGCGTGTAGTACACCTCCAAGTGGCTGTGTCCACAAGATTGGCTCACCTGAAAAAGTAGTTCAAAGTGAACGCGTCCAGGTAGCCGCAGCCTTTGATGTCGAGAATGCGAAACAGGTAGGCCAACGCCTGCGGTTCCGAGCGGTTCTCCAGCGCCAGCACCAGATCCAGATAAGTCTTGTAGTCCATTTCGCCGCCGTAGGTGAGACACGTTTGGAACACCCGATCTAGGAACGGTTTTGTAAAGGTGCCCGAGCCGTAGCTGGCCAGTTCCGACTTGTTCAGCATGCCGTTGTGGTCGCGATCCAGGTTCAAGTAGTGACCTACGGAAAAGCGGATCAGATTGAAAATGGAATGCTCGGATGACGAGAAACTTGAATAGCAAACTGATATCAACACCGCCGAAAAAATGACTTCTAATTGAAATTGGCTAGTAACAGCAGATGCAATACGAGACCGTCTTTCGGGACAAAACATTTCTAAACGCGGTGGATTAACCTCTGAGACAGCTCTAGAGGTGTGCGATTCGAATCTTTTTAGTGATTCGTACAACACACATTCGTATCAAGAAAAGATTCGTACCAGAAGGTTCGTTCATTTCGTATCGATGCAATCGATCGAAGCCGCGTATGCGTATTAGTTCGCATTAGGTACCGGTACCCATGATACTAAAACTAAAGTGGTGGTACAAAAGACAATCTACATGTCCACGTTTATTCCATTTAATGAAAAAAAGATTGAGCATTGCAGCAGCTTCCGTGCCAGCAGAGCGGATATTCTCTAAAAGAAGTCTAACAATTGATGAAAACGGTCAAGATTAAGTTCCAATAAAGTGACACAATTGTTATTAATCAATTTTAATGCAAAACCTGTGCCAGTTTAATTATATTTGTACATTCTATTATTTTTCTAAATTTTCTTTTTAGTTAGATCTTATCTGTTGAGTATTATTTTATTTCGTAACACCAAACAATTAGTTTTTAGATATCTATTTCGTAATGTTTCATATTTAACATACAATAATAAACATTATTACTTTTTTGCAATAATACATAATAAATATATTTTTAAATTAATTGAAAAAATATTTGAGTTTATCTCGGTTATTTCAGAAAACACGGTTTCCGTCTTCTTATTTTCTATCACGCAATGACATRAGCCCGCGATTGACTTTCGRATTCCGTTCCGAATCCTCCACTCAACAGTCTTGTTGACAGTACTGGTACTGGAACGCGATGCGATTCTAAGCCGATACGAAATGTACGAATCTCTTTTCTTAGGGATTCGTACCATTCGAATCACTGGAAGGATTCGTATCAATGATACGAATCATACGAATCCCACCCATCTCTAGTCTGCTTACCGTAAATTCGCAGCGCTGAAGGGGCGCTGAACCAGTTCTGCTCCTGGACATCTTTGCTCACATCTTCGTCGCGCAGCTCCAACAAATCGTCCAGAAAGGAACACGCCAGGATGTCAATGATACGTACCTGGAAGCACGAGCAATTAATTGCTGTGAAAAGTGGCAGCCCCACTACTCACTCTATTCGCTCGCACTCCATCCAGGAAGAACATAAACTTGCGAACAGCCGTGCAAACATAGAAGCTGTGAAATGACTTCTCCAGTCCATCGAGCTGGCACAAAGTGGGCAACAGCTCAGTTATGTAGTGTTCTAGCTCAGTTTCAGTCAAGTAGCCTGCAACCAAAGTCACTAATTCCAGCACCAACTTGCCACAATTGTTCGTGAAACAGGTTTAGAAGCCGTGGGAAAACAAACATTTCAGTCGGAAGCGCTGGAGATTCCAACAAGCCTCAGCCAACAAAAAATAACAGGCTTTCAATGGGACACTCCGTATCAGTCAGGGTTAGGTATGGTCGGTATTTAACGTAACCGCTAAAATAACAGTGTTCCAAATATGTAACCTGAAACCGTAGTTACCACTAGCCGATTTAACCGTTTTTTTTTGGAGCCGTCTCATAAAACCGAAATAGCGGTGCGCACTTCGGGCATTGTCGAGCGATCGATCCAGCTGCAGCCGTTTGCCGATTTAAACCGTTGTTTTTGGAACCGTCTCATAAAACCGTGACAGCGGTGCCCACCAGCACAGAACCGATGCGACAACGTCGAGCGATCTATCCAGCTGCAGCCGTTTGTAGACTGAAACCATTCTTTTTGGAACCGTTTCATAAAGCAATTTTAACAGAAAAGAAGAAATTACGGCACTCAATCCAGATTGGAAGCGCGTTTTGCGCCAAACAGCATGTGCGCCGAAGCGTTGGAACCCCCACCCATCCCCCACGCATGAGCACACACGGCTGGGCGGCATAAATACGACTGGGAATCCAGCAGTTGAATCATTCTTAGTCGGAAAGCACGGGAGATCACTTCGCCCACTGCCTCATTGCCTTTGAAAATGTCCACCGCAGTTGTGGACGAAACGTCACAAAGAAATTCCGATAGACCACGGCTTCAAAGCCCGGAAAACATTCCTAAATGTAATCTGACCGGCCGTGAAAGCCTTCATAGTCTGAGAAAATATGTTGTATGTAGTTGCGCGTTGCCTTCCTGTCCAGGAACCAGCAAAAATTTGTTTAGTTGCTGCGATGATATAATTCAGCAATTTTAGTCTATAAGTATTTAGTTTTCTGACATTCTGTAATAAATCTTAAAAAAGGGATTTCTCTCAAGAAACTTAGCTCGGGAGTTATGTGCCCATTACCAGCAAACTAAGCAGAATGTGCACTTGCATATGAGCTATGAGCAAACTAAGAGTCTAAGACATAAATGCCACCACAGTTGAAATGTAAAATAACAAACGTTTTAAGCAGAATGCGTACCTGCATTTAAGCAAGCTGGCTTTTATAAATATAAATTCGGTCAAAGATGAAATGAAAGTTATGTGAATAGTAATAAACGTTGTAAGGTCGACATGTTTTTTTAATTATTTTTTGGTGGTACTAAAATTAACTCGTGTAATACTTCGTCCAGGTTTGCCAAACACGCATTTCTGTTTGTTGTTATTGTGGACTATTTAATGTTATTGTGAAACGAAATGCGAGAGATTATTTTCTAAAGCTTGCTAGTGCTATCATAAACTCGCGAAGAATTAGAATCAGTAAAAAGCATCAGCAAAAAATTTAATTCTTAAATGTTAATTCATTTTTAAATGAAAATGAGATTTTTAAACATTTTCGCATATAAACCATATATTTTATTTAATCACTCTAGTTTTATTATTATCAGTATTTTTGCTCTTTAAGTAGTTACTTCTGACCCATGTTTTGTTTTTGATTTTAGAATATTTTATTTTAAGTTTACCAATGTTAAGAATTATGTTTTTAATAAACTAAGTCATTATATATTATCATCATTTCTACTATCATCATAATTCTGCATTTTTAATGAAAATTTTAAAAAGTAACGTTCCTTTTGGAACCGCATTTTAAAACCTATTACCGAGGTAAAACTGGAACGTAGTAACCCGCTACAGAAAAATAACCATTTATCACACCTCTAGTCAGGGTGTATTTACTTTCGTATTAAAGTAAAAATATTACTAGTTCTGAGGAGTTGCGAGAAGACCGCTCTCGGATTGGATACAATAAAAAATTGACTTGACTCAGTCAAGCCGCCCCCCAAATCCCAATTTTAATGCCATAAAAATAAATGGAATTTAAAACGAAATAAGAGGCACGATCTACTAAGCATTTAGGGGTAATAGTTGATCAACATCTAAAGTGGAAACAGCATATTTCTAGATTGACTAATAATCTTAGGAAATTAATTCGAAAATTTTATATGATTAGGGAAATCTTAAATGAACATCTTTTAATTTCTGTATACAAAGCCACAGTAGAGTCCTTACTTATATGCTATAATAGTATGGGGAAGTTTATATGAAAATGCTCTACAGCCCTTGGCAACAATTCAAAACGATATTCATAAAATTGTTTTTAGAAAATATAAAAAGTCGAATTTGCAATGGAAATATTCTTGCTACGAGATTCTTGTTTGTCTTGAGTGTGTGTTCTCATGTACATCAGAATCCTATAATGGCGGAATGTATTGATCACTCGTACCCCACCAGGGTCTAGTGTTGACAAAAAATTCCAGATAGTACTACGATTTTAAATTTTAGATCGGTGGACTACCTTGGTGCTAAAATATTCAACATTCTACCGGCGACAGTGAGAGCAACTGAAAATAAGAGGGTTTTTTTATCAGAAATGTATAAATTTTATGGTCACTTTTGGGAGTTTTACCGTCCTAATCTGAGTGTCTATAAGGCAATAAATAAACAAGTGTAACTCAACAGAAAAATTTCCTTATAATTAATATCAAATTAAATTAATTAATTAATTAATATTAAATAATCAGAAACTCTACTGATACATACAGAAATTTGATTTTYTAGGTACCYATTTGAATTTGTTAGAATTGTTTTAATATAGGAATGTAAAACTGTCTGTAAAAACCATTTCTTGCAATATATTTAGTTTTGAGTATTCTGCACCCAAAGTTCTATGTTCGCGGTATAGCAAGAACTGGTTCAAAACCTGTCTGTTACCGGTTCTAGCAGTTCTAGGATTAAAGGAAGGACTGGTTGTCCTAACAACCTTTAACATCAAAAACTGGCACTTTTCGCATTGAAGTCGAAACGCCGTCGTCTTTTGAAAAAACGAGACTCGTCGCTTTTTACGAGAAGCAAAGTACAGCCGACGACACATTAACTTAGACGAGTAAACAGTTGTGTAAATCTGACTTTCTACCTTTGCGGAAATGACATAATACTGACAAATACATTATCCTATTCGCGAATTCTACTGCTACTACCGAGAGGGCGCGCTGCGAAACGAACGTCAAATTACTCGTGACAATGACAGTTAAGACTTGTCAATCTATTGGAGTTGGTAAACAAGCAAAAAGTGAGTTTCAATTGAAACAAAAATTAATGTGAGTGAATGAATGATTTGAATGAAAAAAAACAAAAATAAAAAGCTTGCAAAAGTTGATTAGAACGAAACAAATCACAATCAGATGTAAACACCAATGTCAACTAAACTCGTGTGTGTCAGTGTCAAATTACTAGTTAACGTATAGTTATAATTTTAGACACCAGAGAGCGTTTGGACTTTTGATCTCGCGAATTATCATAATGCCACATTCAAAATTATTTGAAAAAATTTAAATAATTACATTAATCGAGGAAGGATGGGCATCAAAAACAGTTGCTGAAAGATGTGTAAAACCGAAGAACACGATTTATAAAATTGTGCAGAATTTAATTAAATTATCAAATAAAAACAAGTTTGTGACGTCAAATATATTTGACGAATTTCACAAAGACTGATTCACCAAGTACTTTAGTACTTTAGTGGCAATCAGGTTAAGCATAGAAGGTGCTTCGATCGATTGATTTTGAGGATTTGATGTGACTGCCAGAGCAAAAACAAGAAAAATGATTTCTAATTGTATAATAATAGATAGGTAGATTTTTAATAGACCGGGCAGCACAACTGAAATGGGACTATGCGGGACATATCGCCCGAATAAAGGATAACAGGTGGAATGGAAGAGTGTTGCGATCTTTGAATATAAAACTAACTWAGTTTTATATTCAAAGGTTGCGATGGAGGCCATGGTCCGGCAGAGGAGAGAGAGGAAGACCTATCACACGTTGGTACGACGACATAAAAAAGGTGACAGGACTTCCATGGATGAGAATAGCCCAGAATAGATCATAATGGAAAGTACTAARGGAGGCCGATGTCCAATTCTGGACRAATAACGACTAGAAGAAGAAGAAGAAGGAGAATAGATAGGTACGAGAGAAATAATATTTGCGAGAATAAATTATAAAAATAAATATAACACAGTTTTTACTTCCATTTTTCAATAATTATAACATGGTCAGACTCAGATCTCGTAAAGCTGCTTTATGACCTGAACAAATTGTAGGCAATTCCAAGTTTATTTTTACAATGGGGTTCTGATGCGATATAAACATAAAAACGCACTTTGTTGTCAGGATGGGAAAAGTTTTGCTTTTGAGCCATCATCAGGCTGATCAGGCACCACCATGATCATCAGGCAGGCGGCAACTCAAATTTAAAAGAAACTAAGCGTAAATTGCGTCGCAATTTTCAAAAAATTCAGTTAGGCCGAACCCAGTGGAATAGAACGTGGCCAAGGCGTGTGTTGGAAAGAGCACACATTAATCTGTGGATTTTGAAAGTTTCGTCTTTCTTCGGGGACGATTTGAGAAACCTTCCAACTTGGGCTGCGAGTGCTTCTTCGCAAACTGCACTTCAAAAATGTGTTTCTGCTAAACTAAGCAAGATTAAACCAAGTAGAGAGTTTGAGTATGAAAGTTTCGAATTCGCACCATCATCAGGAATAAAATGGGCGCAAAAGTTCATTAATGAATTTCTGCGAATCTACTGGTGATGGATCGAAGGCAAGTCATTTAGTGACATCCAAATGTGTCTAATGTAGGTGTTGTGTCGAACCCTTCGGACACGACACTAGCGTGAACCCAAAAACACTCAACAGGCCCCATTGGCAGATTTTTCCTAAAACCAGTGTCGTGATCGAAGGGCTCGGCACAACAAATACATTGGGCCGTCGAAGTTGTGCCAAGCCCTTCGGGCACAACACTGGTTTAGAGCCAAAAACACTCGGATTCAAGCCTGGGTATCTCAGTGAATTTTCAGAAGTTGGCGCAGTACGTGTGTTATCACTCATTAACTCAGAGAACGGCAACAACTCAAAAGGACAACTCAACACAGTGTTACCCAGGTCTAAACGGTTGAGAATAGAGTCGGAGTTTCTTTTTGCAATTCGCTTAAGGCAATTGCGGATTTTAATTTTATTTTTAATTTCGATTGGAAGGCCGAAAGGGTTTTTTTTAGTGTTTTCTTTGAACCTGTTTGCTTTTTGCATAGCCTTGGTGATTTTTCCGGTGATGGTGTTATTCCGTTCGATCCCCGGCCAAGTCTTGAATCTTGAGTCTGCGTATAGTTGTGGATGGTACGTTCTAGAAGTATGCGCGAGAGGGCGCCTAGGCTCTCGGAGAGAGTATAGCACAAGGACAAGGAGAGGCAAGTTTTATCTCACAATTTGCTTTTATCGAGTAGTTTAATTATAAGATCAATCTAATTTCTTTGCATATTTAAGTTGTGATGGTCGTTTCTACCCTTAATTGCCGTTTAAATGTCTGTATTAATTTCTAAATCAAAGTTAGAAAGTTTTGTATGATATTTGCAAAATCAGTGCTTGTGTCGTTTGAGCCACTCTGAATTTTTAGGTTTTCCTTTTTACTTCAAAGAACACTTCAAACTAAGCAATTCAGCAAAAATTTCCCGGATGATCCATAAATCAAGTCAACTTCCAGAAGAGTTGTAAGGAGCACTTTACATACTCATGGAATTACGCAGCAACTTTTCCATTCGCACGTAAATAATATACTGTTTCGCAGGTATAAACCGTATATTTTATTTAATCACTCCGGTTTACTATCAGTTCTTTTGTTCTTTAAGTAGTTACTCCTGACCCATGTGTGGATTTTGATTTTATAATACATATTTTATTTTAAGTTTACCAATGTTAAGAATTATATTTTTAATAAAGGAAGTCATTATACAGGGTTGCTCATTAGTGCGTACAAGTGCGATATCTCAGTAAATACTGTACTCTGAAGAAARAGTTTGATACCCGGCCATCCACGGTACAATATGAACTGTRGGAGAAAATACTTCCTACGAAGTTTTTGATGTTTAAAAGGTGCACATTTTAAAATTACTATTCAATATACGGGGTGCGTCCTAAACGTGGAGTAGTTATCAACTATGGATTTTAAATGGGACCTCCCCATTTTTTTGCGCTTTTCGGATTTATCGTAAAATTGGAATGTAAAGTTATTTCAAACGCTTTACCTGAAAAATTTACGGTTTTCGAATTATTGGAAAAAATATGAAAATTCTGACAGCTGCTGGTTTTCACAGAAATTGGCGCTGTACCCTAATAGCTACAAATTTTGAAATCGCTCTTGTGGACCTCCAAGAGGACTAAACAAGCTACGTGCTGACATATGTTAATTCCCGAAAAGTTTCCAATCAACCGTTCAATGACCATTGAAAATTGCATGTTTGTTAATCTCAATAACTTGGTTATTTCAAATGAAACCCCCCAATTTTTTTTCAATTTTCGGATTTTCCGTCAAATTCTAAAGATAGTTTACGTAAAGTGTGGTAACCTTAAAACTAACCGTTTCTAAGTTATTCGGCTATTAAAATTTAGAAAATGGCTTAATTTTTGCTTGAATCAAGTCAACTTTGACAATTGTGTAAGAACATTTACAAAATATGTTTTAGGGATTAATAAAAAATAAGATCAACAGTGTGAAACTTATATTTTCAGGGCTCACAGACTTCAATAGGGACAAGCAAACGTTCGCTCTTTTGATTCCATGTCAACATGTACCCGGTTAACTTGATCAAAATAAGAATAAAATAATTTTAAAAATTTTTCCGAATAGCTTAGAAACAGTGATTCTTAGGGCTTGGACACCTTACATAATCTGCCCTAAAATTAGACGTTAAATTCCAAAATTGAAAAAAAATTATGGGGTTCCATTAGAAATAAGCAACTTTTTGAGGTTTAAATGCATGCAAGCTTAGAAGCTAATTGAGCGGTTTACGGACATCTCTTTATGAATAAAAACATATCTGCACGTTAGATTATTTTAGAGTAGTAAATTTAGAATCCGAAATCCTTTTAGAATCCCAGACGACTGTTTTCCAAATTCGCAGCTGGTAAGGTACAGCACCGATTTATGTAGAACCCAGTAACTAAAAATTTTCATATTTTTCCGAATAATTCGAAAACCATAAGTTTTTCACATTAAATTTTCGAAATAAATGAACAATAGAATTTGACGACAAATCCGAAAAGCACAAAAAAAAGTTCCATTTAAAACAACCATAGTTGGTTACTACCACACGTTTATAACGCACCCCGTATACTAGAAAATAATTTTAAAATGCACTCAGAAACTTCAGTGGGCGATATTTTTCTCGAAAAGTCATATTTACTGAGATATCGCACTTTGACGCGCTAATGAGCAGCCCTGTTATGATATTATCACTATTTTTACTATCATCATTGTGCACTTTTAATGAAAAATTTAAAAAGTAACGTTCCTTTTGAAATCTATTACCAAAGTAAAACTGGAACGTTGTAATCTGCTACAGAAAAATGACCGTTTATCACACCTCTAGTCGGTACTACTAAAAGTTGGTTCCAAAAGTGTTCGTGGAACGAAATGGATCTGAAACGAGCCTGCGCCCTAATTCGAGTCGCGATGGGTTCCCTTTTCCGTTCTTGTCTAGAACCGATACTGAATCGCTACCGCGAATCAAGCTATGGTGAAGCGCGAGATTTATGATAATTATCTGGGTCTGCCCCTTTTGGCTCTTGATATTAAAGGAACACTCATACTGTAGATAAGTAATCCTTTTTCTGAGTAAAAGTTCTGGCGGAAATGCCGTTCTCGTCCTAATTTTGCTAAAAAAGAGATTATCTTCCATGTGAGTATTCTTTTATTATCAAAAGGCAAAACGGGCAGATTGCAGATCAAGATATTTACCGGAATTATTGTTTTTCGCTCATCTTAAATCGCATACCTTGGCCAGTGCTGTCATACACTGAAAGCCCCACTCTGGTTTGATCCAGCCACACTTTCCTCATCACGTAGTTGAACAGGGAGACTGTTGAGATTCGGCCCTGATGATCGCCCTGTTGCAGTTTTGCAAAAACGCTGGGTTTGAGGTACTCCCTGGTTTTGGGGCCTGATTTCTGAGCCACTTTCTGCAAAATACTCTAGTGACTAAGCACAAGCCCCACTGCTCATTGGTCTGCTCACCTGGAAGTCCTCATAGGAAATGAGCTGCTCGTCCGTTACGTGATGACAATCCAGCAATACCCACAGGTTGTTCATCTCAGTTCTATCGAGCAGCTGTAGGCTTTTCTGTTTCAGCAAGTTAGCGCGACTTTCTTCGCGTAGTTTCTGGCGCAAAGGTTCATTTTCACCGGGGATTCGGTTGTAGAAGGGCGGAATCGCACTGGATTGCGTCCGGCCTTTGCCCCATTCGTTCAGCAGTCGCCGGAACTCTTCATCTTCCTGCTTCTGAACCAGCTCGAGGGGAACAGGTTGGTTTTCATCTGAATGTTTGCTATTAATCCCCACTGGTCGTGAATCTGAAGATCATGTAACTCGTCTACTAACCGTCTAGTTTTTGAATTTTTCGCCTTAGCAACTCCTTTAAACTCATAGTTTTTTCAGTAGCCAAATATTTCAAACAAAACCTCACATTCACAGGTGAAAAGTTATTTTTGTCAGATTTTTGTGGTTATTTTGATTGCTTCCAGCAGCGTTGCCGGACTTTCTAGTAATTATGTACACCGCGGTCTGATACCAGGACTGGCGCTTTGCCGATTACAACCAGGCTCACCTGATAGAAAATCTCATAACAAAAAGCGTTTTTCGTATAAATTTTTCGAGAAAATGCCGTTTTTCACGATTTTTCACCTCCAGAAATCCACCAATTTTCAAAACAAAACAAAGAACGCCATGATGGTTTCGCTCTTTGCGTCGACGTGCCAGTGCAAATTTTTCGCGCAGTTGCCACTTCCTTAACCCAGTGATGCCAGATCGGTTAGATTCCAATCACCAGTCCATAGTTTTCCTTAGATTTTGACAAAAAATTATAACTAAAAATGTTTAATAAAACATGATAAGTAAAACAAAAAAGGTTATTGGAAACGGTATATTACACTGTAAATGTTTGTACCAATTTAAAAATGTCAAAATACCGAGCCCAAAATTTTGCTTCAATTTTTATTCTTAATTTAAATGAGCATTTGACAAAGTTTATATGTAGATGGGGCGGTTGCAAGTCACACTCAGTACAGCTGTATTGATTTTTGCATCTCAGTAAATATTATTTCCGGGAAATTAAAGACCTTAAAGGGGATTCACCGGATTCCCGCTAACGCGAGATGTGCGCTGCTGACAGCTACTGAAATCACATTCAAAGTTGTGGATGGCAATTCCTTAGGATGACATCACTGCCTTAATCTCCCATGCGGGCGTCACATATAACGTATACATATTTAATATTATTCGCGTTCATTTAATCAATTTTTCCTATGCATATTTCTCAGTTCCCTCATTTCAGAGTTGGTTTTGCACTTTGCACCTTTTGGTGATCGTGTCGTTTAAGTCCTCCCAACGGTTTGTTTTTTTTGTTTTACTTCAAAGAACACTTTAAATTAAGGATTTGCTAAGAAAAAAAATATTGGATGGTCCATAAATTAATCAAAAAAACACTCACAAAGTTTCAGGAAAATCATCATTTTCAGGCTAAATTTCGAGCGGTGCTGCCAAACTGCTAAAAACGTTTATTAAAAGTTATTGTCAATTTTATCCTTGGGTACCTAGCATGTAAATTCATTCAATATCGGCCGGTTTAGATTAGTTAGGCAGTTGACTTATAACCTTTAGTGTATGTTTTTAGCTTCATTAAAAAAATCAGTTCAGCCATGCCAACGCAAACAAACTAACTCAAAATTAACCGAAAGGAAAATAATGCACAAATTCGTGGGAACACCGCTTTCTGTTCCCGAAAGAGACAAATAATCCGCCATCTGACTAACGACCTTTGAATATAAAACTAACTTTTATATTCAAAGCTAACGACGCACTAGATAACCTCAATCAATTGGCCACGTAAGAAAATAAGCTCAAACTTTTGCGAAAAACACAATTATCATGCATCTAAGCGACAATTTTGCATGTGGAGTTATGAACTATTGACCCTTAAAACACGATTTAGCAGCAAATAGCACCGGACAATCTCATTTTCATGCATGAATAAGTAGTTTTGGGAAAGCAAATTTCAAGAATTCAAGAGTTTCAAAAGTGTTTTTTGGCTTCATTTATTATTATTATTCCGGCTCCCAGGAACTTATTTCGCAGCAACTACTTAATTTGATGTATTTTCAAAAGAAGATTTTTTCTACTCTGCTTGTCTGCTACTATTCTCGACTCCGGCGTCACTCCGTAGAGTAGACGTTGGTTAATCACAAGAGAGTCAGACCTTCCCTGTGTTCTTCATTGTCAAGGAAAAAAAACAAAAATTCGTAGGGGCTCAAGCGACACAATCTATATATCTTCGAATAGTTGCAAATAGGGAGTTTTTAGGCCCCTTAATTGCAACACGTTTTACGTTATCCGGTATTCTGAGCATGCGCAATAGTAAAGAAATAATAAATTAGTAATAAAATAATAAATAAGAAAGTTATTAGAGGATAACGTGTTCCCTTATTTACGTACGACTACGGGTAACGTTAATAAACATCACGTTGAATCACGCAAAAAGCAGAACGACGGTGTTGACATATTTGACTTATTTCTAATATTAGGCATAAAATAAGCGGCTATAATAGAACAATAAATCTTTGTAAATTTAAATAAGACTTTTTAATTGTTTAGTTTACGCTATTATTGCGTAATTACGGATTTATCTCAATGATAATGCTCATCGACATAAACCATCCAGCAATGGCAACACTCCAGGAAACGTCGCGTCTAGCGGTAGCCTAGGTGTTATATGCGAAGATGTTGACAGCTCTGGCCCCGGTCGATGGCGCGCAGTTTGAAAACTTATATTTAGAGCCATCAAGAATTTTGGTAAAACAAATTGAAGGAGCGGATTTGATTAAATTGCATTAAATTTACGAAATAGTCTTGGTTAGTGAGTTTTTAAATTCATTGCCAATTTATGTGCTCCAACAGTTTCCACAATTTGTTGATGGTCTCAAATGGAAAAGAAAAATGAGGACAATTATTAGACATTTTGGAGTAGCTGTTCATGAAGACTTTTTCTTGAGAATCTAAGAAAGGTAACGAATATTTAATATAAATAATAAGTGAGTGTTTAGTAAAATTTTTATATACTGTCTGTACAGAGATTAAAAAGCGTACACAATGACGTAATTAAAAAAAGCAGAGGAAAAGAAGGTCATCTAGTTTTCAACACTCTTCTGCACCTTTCCTTCTTTAAATCATTGTCTGTACGCTTTGAATGTCTCTTTGTACAACGTCTATGTCAATTTGTCAATGGCACTATCACTTAAATACCTAATTCTGCTAGTAAAACAATGTTAGACTTAGGTATAGGATATTATACATGAAATATATTTAGAATTTGGAGTAAACTTCCAAAATGTAATAATATATAGGGTGTTCCATTTAAAATAAGCAAGTTGATTTCTACTTCCGGTATGACCGGAAGTGTGGCCATCTAGAAAATATTTTAGGCTGCTTGCCCCCAATTATTTCGGCACATTGTCCAATTTTCAACTTTCTTCTAAATTGTCGAACGACAAAAGTCTTCCGTCTGCAAGTGCCCTTAATCGTTTATTCGAAAATCAACAAATGCAGCAGCTGAAATTCAAGGCAAATAGAAAAAAAGCCATTTTACTGATGGCTCTATAACTTTGTAGCTGTATGCAGTTCAGAATAATTCAAAAAAATTTTAAAATTACGTTTGCGAGTGTAAGAGTCCAAGCGCCCACTAGCGGCTAAATTATAAGCACACTTTAACTAGTAAAACTTGACTTTAATTTTGATTAGATGTCATTGTGACTTATTTTGTTGAGCTCTACGCAGCTTTTGCCAGCCTTTAAACAAAGAGAAACGTATTGAAAAGTGTGCAAGTATTCTTTTATGTTACAGACTTGAAAACAAAGGCTAAAACATGGAATGTCATGAAGTTATTACCATTCTATTCGTGATTTTTGCCAAGTTCACAATGGCGAGTAATGTTTAGGTTTCGCAGCGCCCTCATCGGTAATTGAACTCCCGAATACTTTCCATTTGTTTGAAAGCTTACTAGAACAATGTAATTTGTGCAAAATAAATAAAAATACCCAACGTACACAAAGCTAATACACCCAATGTCACTCGTTAAGTGTAGGTATAATGACCGCCAGGTTGCTCATCCGCCTCATGGCTCTTTTATTAATTTACTTTCATGTCAGCCCTCTGCTGCGTTGCCACATGCACGAGAATCATTCGATCATAAACACGTAATATTGGTCCACCACAAGAGGACAACAATGAAAATAAATCTATATGTTTCTTTGTACTTACAGCAAACACAACGAATTATGCACATGTATTAATAATAACTCAATTTTCCTGGAAATAAAAATTTGAAACTGGTTTTGACATTGATTTGACAACGTAGAGGGCGCTGTGGCATTTCATTCCGGCTTGGTTTAGAAATTCTTAAATTTCTCAGTCAGCAAATGGCGTCACAAGTGGAAGTGCATGATGGTTTTTTTCGCGTTTCATGACTAAAACGAAGAGCGTGTTTTTCAAGTTGTGTTTTTTCCTATTTCTCAGTGTTTATCATCAGTTCTACACATGTGAGACAATTGCGCTAATCCTCCTTGAATACTCAACATGGAATTCGTGGTAAATCATTCGCAATTAAGTGAATAATCTGCATTGTAATTATGAACGAGGAAGCGGACATAAAACCGATTGAGGAGCGCCCCGTGTGGCCGCCGCTGGAAGGGAACAGTCTCCAAGTGGCTTCACCCCATCCACATATCCCTCTAACCCCACAGGGGACCCCCATCAATCAAGGCTTCGAGTGTGAACTTCCTTTCGAACTGGTGCAACAGGGATGGAAGAAATTTTGGTCCAAAAGGGAGAGTCGCCCGTATTTTTGGAACAAAGTGACTGGGGAGAGTTTGTGGGAAATGCCCCCAGTTGTCAAACCCCAGTTTGACTCCCTCTCAGACCCTTTAGGAATTGCAGTGACTCCCCCTCAAACTCCCCAACCTGCACCGCAGACACCTTTACCTTTAGGTAAGTTTAGGCGGTATTTCCAGTTACCGACAAGGGGTTTCAGTATGCTCTAAAGCCTACGAAAATTATTTATTGTTATTCTCCCTAGATAATTCCTTAGTAACTTTAACATTAAGTCCCCACTGGCGGCAAAGCCTGAAGCTGGCTGAAAAGTTAAGTTTAGCCTTTTGTTTCCTTATCTGAAACCTATTGAGGCACGTAGATTCCTGTAGTGATTGGGTGAACTAAAAAGTTGGCTTACGCAGGTAAGAGGCGAGCCTCAGAAGACCTGCAAGGTCCCCAAGCAAAGAAATTCATCCTTGCTGGACCGTGGGACCTAGAAATAAGCACTAATGTGATAATTTTTGAAAGACCACCTTGCATTTACATGCATTCACATCCCGAAGTGGAGGCTTACAGGTGGGTGTTGATTTTCCTAACTGGCCGAAAGTGAGACTTGAAACTGTTTTCAGATGTGCAATGCTGGCCAAGCTAAGACAATGCTACCAGGAGCTGTGCCATTCGAGGGAGGCGATTGACGCACCGAAAGACTCTTTCAACAGATGGCTCATGGAAAGAAAAGTAATTGATACAGGTAGTTGAGATTTACATTTGCTAAATCGGCCATTCTCACATTCCTGAAATGTAGGATACGACCCGCTATTATCCAGCAGCTGCTATCCAGAGATATCTCTTTCCATGTACAAGGAAATCATGAACGACATCCCGATCAAACTGGTACGGCCCAAATTTACTGGCGATGCTCGGAAACAGCTGTCTAGGTACAACGCTTGATTAATTAGTTGCAGATCAGCTCAAACTAAATTTTCCATGTCTATAGGTGGGCTGAAGCGGCGAAGACTATCATGGAATCGAGAAACGCGGAAGCAGAAAGTCGAAAAGTGGTTAAGTGGAACGTGGACGAAACCTTTCAATGGTTGAGAAAAACAGTTGGGGCGACTTATGACGACTTTCAGGCAAGAATCGTTTACTTTTCATGCAAATGAGTATCTATACAGGGTGTTTCAAATGAAATGGTATTTTATGACTGTTATATGAACTTGGCTAAATTCGCCTGGAACGACGACGTTTTTCAAGATGAAAATGGTGATTCAGACATTCAATTAACCTCATTACCAAACAGTTTTTAATGCTTTATTTTGTTTTGGATCACCCTCGAGCAATCCACTGTTTAAAAAGCATTTTTTATGTTGGATAACAATGTTGTTTTATGTTGGAAACTAATGCCTTAAGTTTCTGGTTTTTGCGACGATTTAATCGCTATTATTAGTGATTTCTAGCTTTTTTAGAAATTGGTTTTACATATTTTGACAAGAGTGATATGTTGAAGACGTCGATATGTTGATAACGTTATTGTTTAGAAAACACGGAAATATTTTTTGGAGAAACCAAAACAGAAGATAAGTAAATAATCACCCCTGTGTTGAATATAAAAATAGCATAAATGCTAAACTGGGTCGGGAACGTATACGTTAACTCGGAGATAGAGCACACCTCGGTTGTGTTGCTGCGTTATCGAAAATGTTATCCTGAACTGTTAGAGCCTTTTCACAGGGGCCACTCTGCAGCGCTTCTCAGTGACGCTGCTGATAAGCGCACGTTAACATTGTACCAGCCACTCTGCAGCGCTTCTCGGTGGCACTGCTGAGAATCTCACGTTACCCTGAAGCAGACTGAAGTGGCTCGTGTGAACGCCAGCATTTGAACCAATGTAATCGCATAGTGGTGCCTCTTCTTGTAGCGCTTCTCGGTGGTAGTCAACTACTGAACGCCACAGAAGCGCGACTAAATCGGTCGTCCGGCCTTGGTCACGCTCGTGTGAATGGCTCCATGAAAATCAATGTACCTTCAAAACGCGCTTCTCAGCAGCGCCATTGGGAAGCGCAGCAGAGTGGCCCGTGTGAAACGGCTCTAACATTTTCGATAACGCAGCAACACAACCGATGTGTGCTCTATCTCCGAGTTAACCAACAAAGAGTTGAAAAGGGAAAAACATGTTGGATGCATAAAGTGAGATGACTTTGTAAGCATAGTTTATTAGTTAGATAGAGTTAACATCGAAGCTTCGAAAACATGCCCCACATGCACATTTTGCCCATTTGGCCCACCTACTACTATACTTGTCTTTGTCTATGATTTGCATTCACTTTCAATTTCGTTCGTTACTGTTCTTGACCTATGTCTCAAACGTTTTCAATGAAGCATCCACAGAAGAGGCAAAAAAACAACTAGAAAATGTACTCAAGTTTGTGGAGGAAAATAAAGTTTATTTTCAAGACCCAAGACCAGTTACCAATTGTTCTAATAAATCCGATCAAAAGGGATGCAAACTTGTATTATAGTTTGCATTCCCTTTGGTTTGATTTTCTTCAGTGTGTACACACCCGCTTCCTTCTGTTCTAATCAAGCTAACCTTATAAGACCACCAAAAGAGAATAAGGCAAAAACATAATTTTGTTTTAAATTAAAAACAAATTATAGTTAAAACACAAAACTACGCTCTGATTAAACACAATTGTTTTATTTATTCCTGCGAGGTTAACTTCGAGGCCGCACGTTAAGTTCGAAAGCGGCATGTGATTTGATACTGTTATTCTGAAGCGCTATTTCTAAATATAACGTTCGTCGATAGGGTCCGCCTGTTATAATATAACGGTTTGACTGATACAACACACCAGTCACATAACGTGTTTGACGGATAACATGCACGTTAAAGTTAACGTAAGTGATATAGCACAGGGCTGATTAACTCTACTCTCATTGACATTTTCGCGTAGTTGCGAAAAATATTTCGAAAATTCGCTCGCACGCGTCGAAAAGCAATTTTACCGTCTTACTAGTGTGACCAGAACTAACAATGTCTAATGCCGATTACACTACACGTCTCCCCGATTTATTGACTGCTAAAGTGGGTCAACACAGTGGCTACACAGCCACACAGCCAAATTTCTTATTTTTTTATCTGGGGTTGAGGCAGGCTTATATCCTATTCGCGAGTTGAAAAGTCTAGGCGCCCCCTGGTGGCTAAAATTATAACTGCAAGTAGTAATTTGACACTTGATTTGTTGACATTGGTGTTTACATCTTATTGTGATTTGTTTCGTTTTGTTCTAATAAACTTTTGCAAGCTTTTTAAGAAATGGAAACAGAGCGAAAAGTGTGTAATTATTGTTTTATGTTATAAATGTCGTCAACTCCAATAAATCAACAAGTCTCAACTGTCACTCGACAACGAGTAATTTGACGTTTTGCAGCGCCACCATCGATAGAATAGCATCGCAAGTTAAACTGCCGATGGGGGCGCTGCGAAACGACAAATTACTCGTTGACGAGTGACAGTTGAGACTTGCCAGACCTGTCTATCTATTGGAGTTGGCAAACAATTGAAAATTGAGTGTTGCAATTATATCAAAAATGTATGTGAATGAATGAATGAACTGAATGAAAAAATAAACAAAAATGAAAAGCTTGCAAAAGTTGATTAGAGCAAAACAAATCACAATCAGATGTAAACACCAATGTCAACCAACCAAGTGTCAAGTTACTAGTTAACGTGTAGTTATAATTTTAGCCACCCGGACCTGCGGAATTGACTTGAGTTTGCCTCTATCAGGTCAGGATCAACTTGATTTCACGGTGAAATTGGGAAAGAACCACTTAAGCGGAAAAAATTCAAACATCTGTACGCTTTGCTCAAAAGAGACCAAATGGACTGATTAGATTCAGTTAAGCTCTTCTGGTTATTGAGATATTTGCAGTTTTCGAAAACCGTAAATACGGTTGGTTAGTAGTGATGGGAACTATCGAATAAAAACCATCGAATTATTCAATAAATGTAATTCATTCGTATTATTCGAGAGCGATGTTTTCAGCGATGGAAACCATCGAATTAAGGCCGGTCGTCCTTTGGATGCGGTTTCGAGCGAACTGCGTTCGTCCGAAATCGGACGATCTATTTCGTCACATTTCGCATATGTGGATATCGTCCACTGGAAGTTTTTTTTTTGTACGATCTGATCAGTCATGTGTAGTTTGGGTATCAAAGTATCAAATAGACACGTCTATCCAGAGTAATTATACAAGTGTTAACAGTAATAAATTATTTTCTTTTGGAAAACAGTTATCTTGGCAGAAGACGATCAAAGTTAAAAATAAAAATCTATTGAGTTGCTGAGATGAAGCTTATCCACTTAAAACGTATTTATTGAGACCTTTTCCATTATCATCCAAACTTGGCTTGCTGAAATAATGTTTAATGAGCGTTTGTCTCGAGCAAGGCAGGCTGTTGAATGTGCATTCGGATTTATAAATAGCATATAGCTGGAAAAATCAATTGAAGTAGATTCTTAATCTGTGGATTAGCTTAAAAGGATATGCCTCTTGCAACACATTATAATTGGTAGAGAGGAAGAGCAGCAAATAGTTTGTACGGAACAAATATCTGAACGAACTCATTCGAGAACGGTCCGATTTGGATCCCTGGGTGAAAATAGAGGGTTTAGTTCAGCTTATAACTTCAGAGAAGAAATTAAATTGTATTTTTTCAAGAATTGTATAACACATAAATTCTTGAAATAAATGATTACTTTAAATACAATAGATAGGGTTCAAATAAATTTGACGTCTTATTATGCCATGTCCGCATAAATTTTTGCTTTCGTAGATTATAAACAATACCGTCTCAATCGCATTTTCCTGCTACTTCTTTTATTCTATTTTTGTCTACAATAGCAATGCAAATGAACAGGCAGTTGATTCGAAATTTTGTTTGTTGTGAGAATTGACTTAGGTCTTAGGTTTCGTACGGAACGGAACTAATTGTTACAAGTAAATCAAAAATAGATGTACTTTATTCTTGAAAAAATTCATATTTTTTTATATAAGTCGATGCGACTGAAAAAATATATATTATGGTTGAATTTTAGGTTTTGGGCCAAGCAGAACTTTTTACAGATAAAATTTTTTTCGTAAAATTAATAATAAACAAGTTATCAAACAGTCCTACAAAAGTTTCATTTACAAGATTTATTAGTTTTTCAGCATCAATTTCTCGTCGGTGTGCAACAACGAAATCTCCGCTTTTCGGTCAGAAACAGTGCGAACTTGCGAACAAATCCGATTTGCTGCGGATAGTTCGCACATCGCAGTGATTCGTCCGAATTCGCACGAATTATTTTGGATCTAGTGGACGAGCTCTCTAGTACGTTGCAATGACATTGGATCATTCGGTCTTTTCCGCACGATTTCGGACAAACGCAGTTCGCACGAAACCGCGTCCAAGGGACGACCGGCCTAAAGCTAGCGAATTATTTGATAGTTTTAATTAGTTAATAAGTCAAAATTAATTCCTGGGTTTCAGTCATTTATTGTCTCTATTTATCAATTAAAATACGTTTCGGTGTATTTTTCCACCATCATTGCTGCTTTAAGCCTTGGCATACATTTTGTATTAATTAATTTTGATTTGGAATTGAAACAGTCAGGAGAGTATATGCAGTAGTTAATAAGTTAATTTGAAATGTAATTCATTTGAGTTGTTCGATAACAGTGTTTTGTTTATTTATTTTATATCCATTGCAATGAACGAATTCAAATTTTAAATAAATAAAATTTTCACTTTTATTCAATTTAAGCAAAAATTGGTTTTTTGTTGAAAAAAAAATTGTAATGATACAAACAATAAAAAATTAACATATTTTTTGGAAAAGTTTATAGTAAATTGTATTTCATCATAAAAAATTCTGTACAGGCCCTTATGAAGGGAAAATTTTAAAAATTGAATGAGTGTCAAATGACATTAGAATTGGTTGAAATTGACACCAATTAGTTTTGAGACAAATCCGATTCAACTCCATGTCAAATCGATTCGGTAAAGTGGCATGGAAAAAATCATTTAACTCCATGTAATCGGTAAATTTTGGTTCTGATCAACTGAAATGCTTTCCAAAAATCAGAAAATGACGATGAATGTGTTCTAGTTGGACCGAAACATAGCTAATTGATTTGGTTAATGATTTGAGAATGCGATAATGACAAACTATAAGTTTCCGATTTTAGCCAGACCAATGAATCGAAAAAATGAATCACATAGTTCGATAGAGATAACGAAGCTTTAAAATGCAATTGAGAGTTTTTAGGCCCATTAAAATTGCGTTTTCCTTAAACGCTAAACGTTATTCTGATAGTGTGAAGGTGTTCAGGCAAATAACGTTAAGTGCGTTTTTTAGTTTTGATACCGCGTTTGTCGCACTCTTAATAAACTTAATGAAATAAACCTCACTTTATTGTTTTCTTATCCCGTTTTGTTTGGAAAAGATTCAAAGATAGTTTAAGTGTGTATTGTTAATAAACGAAAAGTGGCTAAGCTGGAAGAAAATATTGAAGCCGCCTTTCTGCGCCCGTATGACCAGGGAGATGAGGATCACGATTTAATAAGAGGCTTACGTTTACACATCTTTGATCCACCTGTTGTTGCAAACCGAAGAGCTATTTTTAATTTTGAGAATATTGAGGGCAGAAATTGCCTTATCAATTTTAGGTTTCAGACGGAACGTATTCGGCGGCTGGTTCAATGTCTCCGAATACCAGAAAAAACTCATTCTTTTTCTTACCACTTCCATATCACTATTGGTTAACGGAACGCAGATATTTTTTTCTTAACCGTCCGCACCAGTCCTGGCTGATTGCGCTTGCTTGAATTGGCGCATACAGTCCGCCACACGACTTTCTCTGAGGTTAGGCGTCGCTATTCGAGCAAGGCCAGGTGGTTGAAAACCAAATATGTACATAGCGGCAACATGGCAGCGGGACGCGCAAGCCCAATCAGCCAGGACTGGTGCCGACGGTTAAGAAAAAAATATCTGCCACTGTGGTGAGGTTATATCTGCTAACGGAAAATAAAAATTCGAAATCGAATAGTTAGGTTATAGGTGAAAGGTTAGAACTTGTCCGTTCGATGTTCGTAGTGTTGCCAAAGTTTAAAGTTTCCCAAACAATTTTTACATTAAATTGCTATTGCTATTTTGTTAAATATTTTTGAACGAAAATTTTCAATAGTTAATTCGATATTTTTAAATACTTCACTTTTAAATTTTTCGCCTAAAGAAATGAGCGATATGGTTTGTGTTTGCGCGCAAGATAACTTTAAAAGTTGCAGAATATTTCCGAAACAACAGTTTTTTGTTTTAATAGGCCAGTCAATTATTAAAAATAGGTTTAGGTAACTCAGTGAATGTTTACGAGTTGGCGCAGTGCTACGCAAATGGCTTGGATTGGATTTGTAAAATTTATTTAAATTTTCGAGTTATTCCAGTTTTAAATTGTATTCCAGTTATTAAATTCCAAAATTGTATTTTACATTCAAAAGGAATTCCAATTACTGATTACCTATTCCTGATGCATAAAAACAAATTTGACTAATAAGAATATTGAAATTATCACATTATTATTGCGTTAAACGAGTTCAAAATTTTATGGGTTCTGTAAATATCATTTGAAGTTGTCACTTTTGTGGGGCGTCTCGTGACTCACGCCCTTTTTCATAATTTCAAATATTTTTTAATATTTGGAGTTCGAGAGGACCTCTGACATATACTCCTGAAATTCAATCCTCAATCCAACCAAATTTGCTGTATTGCAGCAGACTGACTGGTTTGTCTGCAAACCTGCAACAAAGTTGGTTGGATCGCCGAAACACACGTTCAAATTTCACCGATTTCGTTAGACCAACAAAATCGGCCCGACGGTATTGTACTTGAGTGCCGGGCTTTAGTTGCAAATTTCGCTTCGCCTGTGTTAAATAGTTTGCAGTTTGACTTAATCTATCACATGTTTACATATACATTTATTCGCAATCTTTATTCACAAAAATAATAAATCAGCATAAATAATCTGTATGATTTAAGCATCCGGTGGGATTACGAAGAATTTTCACACGATACCTTAATTGTATAATTCGATAATAAACAGGGTGACACAAAAGTTCGGAGACAACTGGTTTTAATGATAACTTTTTTATTAAACATCAAAATTATACACATTCGAAAACCTACAAAATACACTAAAACACTATTCGAAATGGCCACCTTCAGCCGACACACAGACCTGCAGACGCTTGCCGAAATTTTTGGCGATGATCGCAAGTGTTTTTTCTTCTGATATTTCGTCTCACGCTTGAGGTGCCTTTACACTTTCGGTCTTGTTCGCTCGGTTTGGGAACGACGCGTCAATCGCGCGTTTAAAAGTTGGCGAAATCATGGCGATCCAAGAGCGTGTCTCTAGAATACGCCCCATTAGTCTGACGTCAGACGATGCGCGCGCCGAAGGACTGTATCCACACAAACGAATTGTCGTATCTTATTAGCATTAGACATAGTTCCATTCTGTATTTTTCTAGAAACCTGCAGGTTCTCAGCATTAATATTAGAAAAAAAGATGTACCGCTATCGTTCGCAACTATTTTGTTAACAACATTTGATACATCGTTCTTACTTTTTCTTAAATTAAATATTTTTCAACATGCAGGTTATGTTTTATAATGTGTACATGCTTTGCAGACAATTTGTCGATCAAAAACACATCCCGACCTGTTAGTTCCACGATTCTAATGTTATATTAACATTCTAAGTGTCTGCAGGTGACGTCGTACGATTTTCTGCAGTAGCGGATTGCTTTAAAGAATACTGTGCATAGTTAAAGAGGGGTGAAAACTCTTAAGAGAGAGGCATTGTCACTGAGCTCGTGTTCGCTACCGAAGTCTCTCCTGCTTGACTTAAAGATGTGAGAGCCAGTATGAAAAAAGAAATTAATGTGTATTACTGTAATTCTGTATATTTTTGACTGCGAAACATTAAAACTAACAGCTAAAGTTTCATGAGAGTTATGAGTAACTGATTTTGCTTACTACGTTTTTCAACTTTCCAGTCATAATAACACACTACTGATATCTTTGAGTATTGCAAACAAACATATACATATTGCATAAGTAGGAAAATACATAAATACTAAGATGTCATTTCATTCTCTACTTTCAATTGAAAAACGTTCAGATAAATTGTTAAGTCCCATTCACACTTTTCACATTCACAAATCATTTTCAGCATCAATCCGTGCGGTAGACATAAATGTTTCAGGAATACCTTCAGTCGAAGTCTAAGGTTGTGGCTCAGTTTCAGGTCTGTAAAATTAAATATACAGGGTGATTTTTTAGTGCGATAGAGTCCATTATTTCCGTTGGTCTTGAACTCTCGAAAAATAGTTTCATATAAAAGTTGTTGACGCAAAAAGTGTGCACATTTTAAAAATATCTCATATGATACAGAGTGTCTCAGAAAAGCGAGGCAAGATTAAAGTTTATTTTTTTAAATAGAACTACCCATTTTTCATTAGCTGATGGAATTCAGCTTGAAACGCTGCATATGCACCGTAAATTATTTTTTTCTTACTTGCTACATTGGTAGATTATCGCCATTTTAGTAAAATTCTGCTTAAAGACATGGTTATCTAAAAATTAATTGTAGAAGATCCGTTAAGAATTCTAATAAACCAAAATATTATAACATTGCACGGGGTGTTAACAATGTGGACTTCAATGTAAAACTTTTTATCGTATATGTATATTAATACGTCATTTGATAGACAATTTACAAAGTTATAAATTTGCATTTACACTTTAAGCTGTGAAATCAACCGTTTTCAAATTATAATTTATTTTATTAAAAAATTTCAAAAAGTTGCTACATTTTGTAAGGTGGCTATGCAAGTCAATAAATAAGTGTCAAAATTTGAATTCCCACGTTTAATTGCTCATTTACCTAATTGTATCAAGGATAGAATGTGATATTTACATGATGGAGCTCCAGTTCACCATACAGATCAAATTCATGAGCACCTAAATAATTAATTTCCTGAGAGGCAGAGGTGGGCCTGTTCAGTGGCCACCTCGTTCACCCGATTTGACAAAAATGGATTTATTTTTATGGGCTTACGTCAAAAACGAAATTTATAAAATAACTCCAACTACAAAAAATGACATAAAGGAACGATTTACAACTGTTTTTCGAAGCATTAATAATATTGTTTTGAACTGCGTTAGCGATTCATTTCAAAAACGTAGATATTAATAGTTGGTTAAATGTTAACGGAAATCATATTGAACATTTATTTTAAAATATCACTGTAGTTATAATTTTGTATTTTTATTTTTATAGAAGTATGCAGTTTTATTGCATTTTTTGCTATGAAATTTCATGCATTTTATAAGACGTTGCACTTTTCTTCATTGATTATGTCAAGTAACATCAAATTTTGACACTTATTTAATGAATTCCATAGCCACCTTACAAAATGTATCAACTTTTTGAAATTTTTCAATAAAATAAATTATAATTTGCAAACCGTTAATTTCACAGCTTAAAGTGTAAATGCAAATTTGCAACTTTGTAAATTGTCTATCAAATTACGTATTAATATACATATACGATAAAAAGTTTTACATTGAAGTCCACATTGTTAACATCCCGTGCAATGTTATAATATTTTGGTTTATTAGAATTCTTAACGGATCTTCTACAATTAATTTTTAGATAACCATGTCTTTAAGCAGAATTTTACTAAAATGGCGATAATCTACCAACGTAGCAAGTAAGAAACACAATACATATACAACAAATATACAGGTACTTCCATTTGAAAAACAAAAGTTATATTGCCATAAAAAGTTTTACATTGAAGGCCACATTGTTAACACCCTGTGCAATGTTATAATATTTTGGTTTATTAGAATTCTTAACGGATCTGTGGTGATTGGAAAGACGTATTTTTTTGCATCTTGAACTGCTTTTTTTGCTTCTACAATTAGTTTTTAGATATCATGTTTTTAAGCAGAATTTTACTAAAATGGCGATAATCTGCCAACGTAGCAAGTAAGCAAAAAATAATTTACGGTGCATATGCAGCGTTTGAAGCTGCATTAAATGAGCTAGTGAAAAATGGGTAGTTCCATTTAAAAAAATACACTTTAATCTTGCCTCGCTTTTCTGAGACACTCTGTATCATATGAGATATTTTTAAAATGTGCACATTTTGTGCGTCAACAACTTTTATATGAAACTATTTTTCGAGAGTTCAAGACCAACGGAAATAATTGACTCTATCGCACTAAAAAACCACCCTGTATGTCTATGCATGTCGATTATATATAAATTACAGGAATTTCTAGTTACCTTGTGCTTAAATGGCCACTTGGTGTTTCTGCTCCGGCAGTTATGTGGCTGCTAATTTTTTGGGACTCCGATATTTTAACTATTTTGCGACAAGGTACTGTAGTAAGGACAAGAGCTGTATAGGATCATTTTAATTATTCCCATCAAGAAAATTACAACTGCATACAAAGGCACCAGGACCAGGATCTATAGAGTTCTCCTATAAATAATTTTCAAGTATAACAAACGGTTTACTAATAACAATATAAGATTATATAGGTAACAATACAAGATTTACTAACCATACCAAATTTATCCATCGATTTCGTGTGGATGGATCTATTCGAAACCGAGAAAACGAACATTTTCACGATCATTCTAATTTTTATATTCAGGAGCCCAACCATTATTCTATACCATTTAAGTACAAATAACAGGTTTTAACACAGTTACTAATACGAAACCTGCTATCCGTTCATATCAAGTTTGAGGTTACCAAGACATTTTCGTCGAAAGTAAAGAAACCTGCTAATAATTACGTTATTATGTAGAATCATTACTAAGAGACTCCTAAATGCAAATACATTCTGTACCGTGGATGGCCGAGTATCAAACTCTTTCTTCAGCTTCCAACTTTTATTCCACTCGGTACAACTTTAACTACGGAACAGGAACAAACTAACT